GATACATGTTTTAATATTTAGACTTTCTATTATTGATTGATATCAGGATGTGAAAAGAGTTTTAACCAATACAACAAAAAGCATTGCCTACCCTAGATTTAATTAGCGCTCCTTCAATGACACATTTTTTGCAAAAGGTAAAACTCTAGTTGCCAAATAACATCAGTACAAAATTACATAGGGGAACTACAACCTCTGTTAATAGGCCAAGAAGGCTGTTATCAGCCAATGACTTCAAAATGGCCTTGTCGATTGTTGATTCTAATCAAGGTTTTCCCGTCATTTAAGACATTCTCAACAAACTGTTAAGCTGTATTTCAATATTTATATCATACATGCTTTCAAATGATCAGAAATGAAGCAATCAAGGGCACACAGACAAAAAAACAAGCACACAAACACGCCGATCGGACCTACCAGCATCAGCGTTCTCTGAGTCCATGTCTGTGTCTGTCTGCTCACGGGAACTGGGAGACAATCGCTCTCTTTCTGTATTACTATCTTTCTCTCTCTAGGTTCTGTACAGAGCAGGAAGTCTAACCATCTTCTATAACACACACACATACACACGCACACACACGAGCATCTGCATGAGGACTGAGGGTAAGCTGTATTTAATTCTGATGATGCTGATGTTTTGGCACACTGAATATTTCACTGCAGTGTCGACACAAGCATCTGTCCGAATAAGGCCACCATGCACGCGCACACTCTTGACCAACACAAAACACACACGCCGCCGCTTTCCCTTGATGTTTTCCCTCACACAGAATCTACACTAGCACGTCGTCCACTGCGCATATGAATGAGACGCTGCTGAAAGGCGAGCGAGAAACACCAATACAAAACACATGACAGATCAAACACACACAAACACACACAGATCAAACTCTCTCACACACTCAAAACGGCCAATGGAAGATCAAACTTTGCTTTGCGAATGGGCACATTATCATCTCAAAGCCATGAGAGAGGGAGAAAGATCCTTGAGAGAGAGAGAGAGAGAGAGAGAGAGAGAGAGAGAGAGAGAGAGAGAGAGAGAGAGAGAGAGAGAGAGACAGACCCTTGAGAAAAAGAGAGACTGGTCATTGTCCCATGCACACAGACTTAAACTGTCAATTTAAATGGCAAAAACACCAGAGCAAGTCTGATTTGATCAATATTACAAAAAAAAATTGACACAATCACAATTTTAACTGCAATATGAGAAACATTTAACATCTCATATTGCTGCTTAGATATCTAAAAGAACAAAAAGGCATAAAATCCCACTGAAACAGCAGTTCTCATGTTCAGCAGGGTGTGCAAACTGCAAACTAGCAAACAATGAGTCCAAAGTCCAGTTTTGCTAACAATTTGCTGTCAACAGAAACTGTTAAGGGTCTGCAAACTCAAGTTGAAATAATAATAATAATACTAATAATTAGAGCCTGACCAATAAAGGATTTTGAAGGCCGATACCGATACAAATATTTGTTGGTTTTAAAATCCGATATTCCGGTATATCAGCCGATATTTAAAAAACAAAATAATAATTTCAGAAACGCTCAACAACACATTAACAGATTTCCCTAAAATTAGTTATTTGTAGTTATTTATGAGTTTTAACTAAAATAATAATTTAAAAACTAAAAAATAAAACTGGTTTCTTTTATTGTCACAACAGAACAGACTGATGTTAGTGGCACCACTATCATGGTCCATTCTCATTTGTGTTTATTCTTCCGAAGTCTCTTCGTCATCGGGATCTGATCAGAGACTATTTATATATTCCGAATCAAACATGTACGGCTGAATGACATTCAAAACAGTGGGTCTCTCACCCTCTCAGCCCTTCTGCTTAGACCGACTGCCATAGGTATGATAGTTACGACCTCATCTAAATGCAGGGCGGGGATATGCAGCTCATTTGCATTTAAGGTCGTATAGCCCAAAACAGTTCATTTTAAAACAGGCCCCAAAAATGACTTTTTCAAATATGTTGTAATAAATTAACTATGGGATATTTTGAGCTGAAACATCACTAAATACATTCTGGGGACACCAGAGACCAATATTACATCTTGTAAAAAGGGGCATAATAGGTGCCCTTTAAAGCAGCCTAATTAACCGGGTGTCATCTGTGTCATCAATGTTAATCACAAAAAAGAGAAAATCTCTCAGCACTTGACTGAATCAATTTTGTCTCACTTTAATATGAAATAATGTACATTTAATTATTTATGCATTTTTTATACATTTGATTACTTTATACAATTTATGTAAGTTAGTATTTCTTATTTCTAGTGCTTGAAGTTTTTCAGGTGAGTCTATTTCTTTGTTTTATTGTAGTTTGTTGTCCTATTGCTTGTAATTTGTTTTTTTTTTATTCTTATGTTATCACTGATTGTTTAGCTTTAGTTTTGTGTTGTGAGAAGTATTCCTTTTTTTTTTTAATTAATATTAAAATAAGGTCACAAGAAGTATGAAATTTCAATGTTTGGTCATATCATCCACCCCTAGCCTGTGTGAATGCAGCCTAATAGAACATTTACAGATTCTCTTTTCTCTCCATTTTCCATGTCAAGGATAAAGGGCTCGTCTTACAGGGTCCTGACTGCCCAGAAATAGACTGTGTGTCAGAGAAGAGAGGTTATCATACTCCCTCTGAGGGGTGTGGGAGTTGTTTGTACTTCAGTGGAGAGGTCATCCTACTCTCAGACTGTGTGTGTGTGTGTGTGTGTGTTGTACTTCTCTGTAGCGTCAGCAGCAATAACCCTTAGGGGTGTCTGGTCTACTGCGTCAAACTACACATTACGCAATCCGATGAAACAATGCAACACTAAACTATATCACAAATGGCAAACTAAATGGTACGCAAAACTATATTTTACACTAAATTGAATGTTGCAGACTACAATGTCATAAACACCAGGAAATAACATGGCTAATTAGATGATGTCTAAAAACAGCCAAAATTAAGCAATAACACCATTTCCAACTAAACAATACCAAAGGAATCTTGCAAGCTAACAACAAAACAAAATCACAAATGTTGGTGACACTGTACTAAGGCCTTATTTTTTAACATTTGTATTAACAATTAGTGTATTAACTAATTAACAAATAAATACTTTCATTTTAAAAATGTATCATTAAAGACTTAAAATGCTATAGAAATATTGTTCATTGTTAGTCAACCAATCTAGCTAACTAATGTGAACAAAATGATAAAAGCAACAACCCCAATCAAACAACCCCCATGCAAACATGCAAATCGAAGCCAAAAATAGTCTTGCGAACTAATTAACACTAAAATGTCGACCAATGGCAATCAAAAAGGCACACAAAACTATAGACTATGCTAAACTAAACATCACAAACACCAAACAAAAAAGCAGTTAATTAAGTAAAACCAAAACATTAAAACATGACAGTATGTCAACTTACTGTAGCAATGGCAGTATTGACTCAAATAAACATCCGTTAGATTTACCTTACAAACACTGGTTATGGTTAACGTCAGATATATTTACACAGCTAACAGTGGGAATGGATACTTTGTTATTTATTTAATTTTACATATAGGAGTGGCTGTGACATTAAACCACACTGATACAGAAAGAAGTTGGTGTTGTAGCAACTTGCCAAATTATTATAGAATTTAACTTATATTAGCCAAATATTAGCCATTCAAACTGTACATATATTGTTGTACATATACTGTACAAAAACAAATATTGTAAACAACAAAAAATCTTGTAAATGGCAACAACATTTGACCAAACAAAACACAAAAACAGTTGGAACAGCAAACATCAAAGTCTCACAAACACCGAAAAAAAACCATACAGTATGGCAAATTAAACAATGATAAAAAAACATGCCAAACTAAACTACCCATAATATAAAACCATAAACTAAACAATACCAAAGCAATCCATAACCATAACACTGAAGTTCAGTCGGTTGCAACTTCCTGTTCAAGGACTTGAACATTCTTATTTATTTAATGGAATATTGTAGTGTTTATGTTAAACACTATGTTTTACTAGTGTTTAATATAAATTATTTATCCATGCACATTGCACATCATAACTGTACACTGTTTCAATGGTGTTTATAATGAATTATTTATTCATGCACATCATTACATTTTAAAAGCACGAGTCCTTTATAATCATAACTTAACTAAAAATAACTTCCTGTCGCTCTTAAATCTCTTCTCTTTTCTGATGTCATGTTTACTGCCGTGAGGGTGGGACGGCTTGTCGCTCACTTGACATCACAGGAATAGCAAACCATAACCATCCAACCAATTCCCAATGGACAAAATCAAGTCCCACCCAACATTCTTTTCTCAATCGAGAAGTAGTTTCACTCAAAATAAGTCACAATAAGGTAAGAAATTAATATTACAACTTCTGTTGCCTGACAACTTTTATAAAAACTATAATAGAGTTTGAACACTGAAGAATGAAGCACAACAATGTCTCTTGACAGCGGGAGACTCGCATTAGCTTTTCAGAATATAGACGTCCAAAAACATTATGTAAGATGTCCGTCTTGGACTCTGCCGAGTAGGAATTTTGTGCTGACAATAAATCACATGCCAGTGCCACCTGCTGTCAAGGTATAAGGCATCAATGCCAACACCTCAACAGAGACTGATGTGAGTCACTGTCCTGCACAGGATCATGGGTAAAATAAACAGCAATGCCAATGACCGTGGGAAGTGGGAACTCTGGGAAAACCACGGTACTAAATGATTAACATATTCATGTAACGTTACCTTGATAAGAGAACCACAACTATGACAATACCATAGCATTTTTTATGTGCGTTTTCTTTTGTGTGTTTCTTAATACTGAAGTAGCAGGGAAGAGCTGAGACCAGCAGAACCCCAGTAATGACACTGACTTATTCTCTCACACACACTGCAGCCAAACATTTGCAGCATAAACCGTCTTAAGTGAATGACAGAGGGTCGAGGCTGTGACCGGCGAGCGGTCGCTTCTTACCGGCAGGCATTCCTCCAGTCGGTTCCGTCCAACCCGCGTCCGAGGCACTGCGTCTGGTTCGGATCAGATCAGCTAGGAAGGGGGGTTGGCTTCGACATATGGTTAGGAGCACGGCTGGATCACACACATGCAAACACACAAGCACAGATACGGATTAAACGAATCCGATCAGAACCCCTCAACGATATCTACCTTAAACTGACGGCTACGAGCACACATTATCAAACATGGCGGAACTGTGTCTGTGTTGTTAAGAATTAAAGAAGTAAAGAAAGGGAGTTGTGTGTGAATACCTGTAGATGCAGATTAAGCGCAACACATCCGCGTTTCCTGCTTCACATTCCGCGTGACGTCGGGACACGCCAACACGGAAGTGACAGTCGAGAGTGGAGTGGAGAGGAGAGGAGAGCGCGCGCAGCGCACGCGTCGAGGTTGAAAAAAAAGAAAAGAAAAAGAAAAAACACGCTGCAGGGATTCACAAAGTGGAACAGGTGGGTAAAAAAGAAAACGTGTTCATTTGATTTAATTTCATTTTCATTACAAAAACAAGTCGCTGGACAGTTCGAGTTGTGTGAATCGTATCTGCTCCCTCTTCCCTCATCCAGCTTCTAAAATTAATAAACAGGACAATCCCAGTTGCCTTTTATTTGGGTTAATGAATTGCCCTAGTGTGTGTGTGTGTGTGTGTGTGTGTGTGTGTGTGTGTGTGTGTGTGTGTGTGTGTGTGTGTGTGTGTGTGTGTGTGTGTGTGTGTGTGTTAAAATATCTATTTCCTCTCAGGGTCTTGCAAGGTATGTGAGCAGAATATCACTTTCAATTTCTTAAAGGAATCGCTCAACCAAAAATGAAATTGCTAATATGCTCATTTACTCATTAATGAATAATGAATTTGTTTGTTCTATTGCACTTTAGCACAGAACTTTTGAAGGCTATTAGTTAGTTTTATATAGCCTAGGCTATCTGTTAAATATTATTTGGAAATGTTAAATAAATTTTTTATGTTACAGTATTATGTTTTTTTCCTTCTCACTATAGTAGTACTGTACAGTTGAATGTATCATATATTTCTTTATTTGATTTTGAATCAAGTTATTTATTTATTCATGTAAATTATTTTAAAAATGATCTGTTTACTTAATTCTTATTTTTTTATTATTATTATTTTTTCAGAACAAGATACATTGAAAGTATTCAGTGACATAACACTATTAAAAGGTTTTGGTTTTTCAAAATTTCCACCCCATCCCAACACAACAACCCCAAAAACTATTAAACCCCCAAAATAAATAATGAATATATAAAAAAAATTACTTTCTCAAAATAGTTTATTAAAGGGTACCAATTTTTTTGTAAAATATTCTGTTGATCCCCTGAGAATTTTTTTTTTTTTTTTTTTTTAGTTTTTAGAAACATCATTAGATCTCTAAGCCATGATGACATACTGTACGTTGTGTGATTTCCACCCGAGGAGAATAATTATTAATTTTTAAATTAATTTTTCCCTTTTTTCAATTTTTTTTAAATCATTATTAACAAAAAATCTTTACATGTACTTGAGCTCCCTTGGTCTGTTTATGTGAGTTCATGAAAGAAGATTTGTTAAGCAATCGTTCTTTTGAGTCAGATCTTTTCAATGCTTTTCAATGAGGTTCATAAAACTGACTGATCAGGTTCTCAAGTTCAACTTACTTTCGGTTGCAGCCAGCAGTTAATGGTCCACTAAAGGGAAAGAGTATCACTAAATAACTTTAAAATTTACCTTGAAAGCTTTGGGTTGATCCATTGTAACTGAATTGAAAAGAGTACAACATTCCCACATGGTCAAGTCTTCATAATTTCACATTTTGTGTTCCACAGAAGAACAAATGCATAATATAGGTTTGAAATAACATGAGATGTAAGTAAATAATGACAGTTTTAATTATTGGGTGAATGATTTCTTTAATATAAAAACCTGTGGCCTGACCAGTTAAACTTCAGAGCACATGTACCCAGTTAAAAAAACAACAGCTTCAGATTGGAAAACCATTTGTAATTATTTAAGAGTATTACTGATGGATTTAAGGGGTTTGTTGAAATATTTGTTGTTCCAAAAGCCTACCGTTTCATTACGACAGAATCCAATCATTTACAGTGGTCATAATAAATAATAATACAAAGCTCAGTAATGTCTGCCACTGTCAGACCTGCCGTGTATAACTGGATTATTTTGGGATAAGCTGAAACCATCCAGTCAAACATGCCAAAGATGACGTGTGTGTGTGTGTGTGTGTGTGAGTGAGAGAGAGAAAGAGAGTGAGAGAGAGAATACACAGTATTAAAATAAAGACCTTTGCTTTAAAGGAATTATGCGTGATTAAGCTCACATCTGCTAAACACTGAAAACACATATCAATCACTCACTCATGTGCACGTCTCATAACTAAATGCTTGTATTGGCTCAAAAGTTTTAACACAATGTGCTTAAGTTGCACAAACTGGTTTGATGCATAGCTGAGATCCAGATGCAAACATTTGCATAATGATTACTGAAATGCTGGCCAAATAATCATATTTCACCAATAATCTCCATCAAATCTGTGTGGTTTTTCTCTCTCTCTGGTCTCACACACATTTTCTGCCTCATTTATATTGGTGGTTTAATGAAGCTTGAAAGTTTGGGCAGTCTGATTGATTGAGTAATGGAGTAGCTTTGTACAGCTGGTATTGCCAGTCATTCAGTAAAGTGCCGTATAGTTATTTGAATATTGAATGCACACACATGCATTGCAGTGATTGCTTCTTAAACACTTTCATTTGCATATGCATGGTAACCTAAAATATTGATGTTAAGTAATTAAGTTAATGGATGTATTATTTGTCAGCTACCACAAACCCACACACACTAATTATTCATACTCATTATTCATTATTCTCTTAATCAATCTGAAGATAGTTATTTAATACACTTCAATTTGTGTGAAGCTAAAACCTAATTATGTTCTTTTCAAACTTTTATATGAGGACTTCCAATTTGGAAATAAATATGGAAATATTTTGTAAAGCTCACCTAAACATAAGTAAACTTGGACACCCTAAACCATCTTATTTAAAAATAAAAGTAGATATTAAGAAATATTCAAAAATTTTCAGTGTATAATAAAAACATTGGTCAGAAATTTTGAAAATGTTTTACACGAGTAATACTTGCACAGACTACTTTTTGGGGTTTTGTTTCTTTTTATTTTCGTGACCAGTCACGTTTATCGTATAGAGAGATGAAGCATCCTTTTGCTGTCTGTAGAACAATTAAGGTTTACAATGACTTCAGGATATGTAAATGAAAACAGGATTTTCATTTTTGGACAATGTATATTTTATTTGACATGAAATAGCCTTTATTAAATGCAGTTTTTTCCCATCAACATTGATTATATATATATATATATATATATATATACATACAAATGCTTTGAAAACATGCAGATCAACCTATAAAGCGAGTCAATCTAACGTATACAGTTCACCTATTATTTACATACTTACACAACACGTCCACCTTTAAGGATTTCCAGTTTTCCACCTTCAAGCTTCACACTGAGCTTCAGATCAATGTTGACCCATAGAACAACTGTTTGTGTGTGAGAGGAACAGACAGTTTGATTTTTTTTTTCTCTCCAGAGGGGGTTTGACATTTTTCATAAACTCTTAACATTTGGTCCCAATGTCTATTCAGTGGTCTTTCAGACAGAATTGATTTATGGATGGATTGCATAATAAACACACAAATGGTATTTGCAATTGAGAGTGACTTCAGTATAGTCTCTCCAAAAAAAAAAAAAAAAAAAAAATGGAGAAAACTCCTACGCGATGATTCAATTGATTTTATATAAAAATAAAGCTGAATGACTGGGATTTTTATTTTTATAAAATGCCTAAACGCCCACAAATATCATTATGTTTGTGAGAGATCAGATCACTCTGTCAGAGCAGATTTAAAGAATGAAGATCAAGAAAGACATTAAAAAGTTGCTGGCTGGAACATTTTGTATCGATTGTGTATTTATGTATTATTTATAGTCAGCTGCGTGCAGAAGGCTTTATAGAAAATGGATATATACAGTGGCAACTACTAGGACAGGTAGCAAACAAAAAGTCAAGTGCTAAATATAGACCCCCAGTGCCTGGAATAATAACACGATCATGATGTAGGAAAGACAGAGCCTGTCAACACTATTAGTCATTAAGAATGAGTCAATAGGTCTTGTAATGTGACTAGAGCAGCTCTATGGGGGAGGACGAGCACTTTCGAGGTAGAGATGAGGCAGTCAAATGCTTCAGAGCTGAGTCTTTTCTGAGTCGAGCAGCGATAGAAAGGTGAATTGTATAGATGAGTGTTAGTTTAATGGACTGGAATGTGTAAAGATGCATGATCAGTTTGAAATCAAGCAGGAATATTGGATTTCTGAGAGCTCCACTCGCCATTCTGAATTGTCATTGGTCAATTGATGCCTATGGTTGCTTTTTTTTTTTGACATCTTTGTAATTAATTATTGACTAATATACAGTGTACACTGATGTCCTAAAACATTATGACTTCCTGCCTAATATGTTGTTGACCCACTGAGGCATGGACCCCTGAAAGTGTCTTGTGGGATCTGTCACCAAGTCGTATAGCTGGAGCCGCCGTGGAACAAACTTGTTGGTCCAGCATATCCGGCAGATGCTCAACTAGAGGCACAATGATTGGTCTCCATCTGCAACGCCATAAGCGGCAGAGTATGATGACACATTCCTCCCACACACCTCATTACAATTTTGTGTCACTCGTGCCACAGCAGACCTTCTGTTAGCTTGGACAAAACGGAATAGCCTTCTTTGACCTTGAGCATTGATGTGCATTGACACCCTGTCTCTGATTTGTAGTTTCCTCGGTCCACTGTTGGTAAATTCTCCGCACTGCTGACCTGGAGCAACACACAGATACGTTGACCCAATGGCCTTGCCATTTTAATTTGGCCCTTTTCAAAGTCGCTCAGATCTTTATTCCTGCCAATCTCCTGCATACAGCACATTAATTACGATAACTGATTGTTTGCTTAATCTAACCTACCCAGACCTTTTATGTGGCCTCGTTAGGAGATGATTAATGATATTTGCTTCATCTGTGATTGGTCGTAATGTTTTGGCTCATCGGTGTAAAGTATGTGCTCTTAGTACAACAGTAAATGTTAAAGGGGTCATGAACTGGCTTTTTAAATCTTATTATATTGTTGTCTGAGGTCATATTATGACGTTTGCTTGGTTTTTGCATTCAAAAACATAGGTTATTTTGTATCCAAGTTTTGAGCCTTCCTGAAAAACGCTTGGTTTTTATGGGCGTCTCGCACTGAAGACTTGGAAGT